GTAAATTCCCTATTACTTTATTTTTGCCAGCCAATTAACAATAAATCCGAATTGACGTATTAAGAATGATAAAATATTACATCCACTTCGATAAATAATCGAAAAAAACTAGTGCAGACACCGATTGGAATGAGTGGAACACAAGATTGCGCATTCGCGCAAAATGACATTTGTGGCAACGGGTAAACAAAGAATATGGCGAAGAACAATGATTTGACAGTTGTGAATTTGCAGCGAGAAAACGTGTTTTCTTCTCGATTCACCAATTTCTCAAGCCATCTTTCAATATAGCAAATTAAGCACTACGTTAACAAAAAATACACAACCACTCTTGAAATGTGTTCAAAAGAATAGGTCTTATTAATTAACTATTTAGAATTTTTGTGTTTGTATTGCAGGTGCCGAAAAAGTGATAATATCTTGTCGCAGCGCATATTTTCCTGCAGAAAGTGATCGATGCTTGCGCACCTCTGATTTTAATTTGTAATCTGCGGTATTTCAACGTTTTCAACTTAACATGTCGTGTTTAAAAGTGGTCCGTAAAGTGCTTCATGCATATTACGCTGGTGTCTAAATTGTATGGCTTCTCCTGCCGACAGAACTCTACCCACTTTCTGGCCAAGGCGTCGTCGCGGGGAAACAAACAAAAAACTGCATTTGGGGGCTTTACCCCTACGGCTGCTGCAATTCAACACATGACACGACATTTTTATAAAGTTTTTATTACAAATAAAACGTTTTTTACTTCAGAACGCACGAATTACTTCGATTTTTCACTTGAAAGTACACAATACTTTTGCAATACGTTTGCACTTGTTTCTAAACAAAAAGTTTGTTTACGTATTGCCATAAATGTCAAAGTCGGCAAAACCAAAGTAGCGGTTTCGGGAATGCGCCACCTTCAGTTCATTTCACCATGGTTTTCAGCGAAAACTAGTTTTCGTTTGACAGATTTTACATGGACGAAAACACAAGTTTTATACCATGTTCTGACCGACAACGAAAACACTTTGAAAACGTGTTTTGAGATTGTGGGCTGAAGGCTTTTCACACCGGTTTTCGTTGACATTTCTTACATCCTCTGATTACAGTTTTGCTACACAAAAACAAAACCAAAATGCTTTTCCCTCATTTTCTTTTCATTAGCAACCTCTTACTTTCATTCTTATTTTACTTTTGCCAGCCAATTAACAATTAATCCGAAATGGCGTATTAAAAATGATAAAATATGACTTCCACTTCGATAAATAATCGAAAAAAACTAGTGCAGACACCGATTGGAATGAGTGGAACGTGAGTTTTCAAGTGGTTTTCAGCGAAAACTAGTTTTCGTTTGACAGATTTTACGAAAACACAAGTTTTAGGTCGAAAACCAGTTTTACCGACGAAAACATGTTTTCGATGTCGCTCAGAACATGGTATAAGTTGGGGTTTACAGCAGTCAATTTACAATTGTCAAGACAATTTTGTCAAAATGATGTGTTTGTTGTAATATGAATTCGCCGTGTTTACAACAAACACATCATTTTGACATGATTTTCTTGACAGAATTGTCTGTTGTAAACCCTTACTAATACCATGTCCCCACCGGAGCTAACCACGTAGTTATGGCTACTGAGTTGGTTATCCCGATAACCCACTTGATTTAGCGTAGTTTCGCCATATAAAAATGACAGCACTTAACCATTTCACTGAGATGGTTAAAAGCTAACCAACTCGAAACCACGTCGAAAGTCTGATACAACCCTGTGTTTTCCCGCCATCTGTGGGTCATTGGCGTTGAAATGTAAAGAATTCGTTCCCTACTAGTGTTTGGACTCAACTAAGATCAGATTAGATTTACTCCGGTTTTTGAAAAAATTTGAAATCTTCTCCTCTACTCCGCTTGACTTCCAATCTATTCCGTTTTTTTCATTCATGTTATGTCCCTTTTGGGGCCGTTTTTTGAGTGTTCACCACCGGTTTCAGTAAAAAAATTGAAAGTCAGCCAAATCTCACTGTTAAAAAGTAACTCTTTCATAGCAATGCGTCAATAAAGTAACTTCGTTATTTTTTGATGTATGGCTGTACAAATTGGCGGATGCAGAACTTTACTTAACTTGTTGAAAAATATATGTACAATGAAATTTATATAAAGTAGAAAAGGTTTGCTTTTTAAAAAATTAAGTGTTAGATACTATACTATATAGAAAATGCAAAAAATTACCTAAATATGTAACATATATTTTCCTTACATTGCCCCGCGTTCTTATTTTGCATGAATAGAAAATATTTTAGTCAAACAATTAATGTCAGAAACAAAAATAAAAAATTCAATCTAGTACGGATTATTTGTTTTTGCTCTGATTTTTGCAGTAACTTAGTCCTCAATCGATTTTGGAGGTCCGAACACTGTTCTTTACATTTGTACTGTTTTATAAACCTCAAACCGCAGTGTGGACAGCAATAGTTAGTGATGTGGTTAAGTTCGATTTGAGATTGTTAACTTTTTGGTGGGGACATGGTATAAGTGTCTTGTACGGAAAAGTTACATCTAAATGACTTTGGGCTCCGTTTATATGGAGTCATTCATGACTTTTTAATATAAATGGTAATTTCGTCGTTGATGTCTGCATAACTTTGTCATACAGTGAACATTGATGACATTCAAGCCACAGTATCTTACAAGTGACCGCTGCAAGACATCGTCTGTTATAAGTCTTTGATAGGGGTACACCTGCATGAAATCAGTTACTCTCTCACAAGTATCAAAAATGTGTCAACCCGTGCCAAAGTGCCCAGAGCGTGAGGAACGCAATAACCACATTTTGTGCCTGGAATCAACAAATCCGCTCTAAACAATGATTTGATGGATATTTTTCTTATATGGCTAATAAAATTAGCAAATACATACATTTATGAACCTTTAGTGCTATTTCCATGTTTGTATTTTACAAAATTTCCTAACGGATGTGAACAAACAACATTTCAAATTGACTTCTTGCACATTTCTGCCCGTGCGGGCTGTTTCGGGCACGACGAAGAAGACTTTTACGATGCAAAAGTGGAAGGTATTCGCCAAGGCGCATCAATATACTTTGTTTTTGCTTTTGATGGGTGTGCTGTCAAATCAGTAAAAGGAAAAACAATATATAATATAAAAAAAACTTTTTAATATACAACGCTTTTATAAATGGACTAAAAAGTAGAAAATAATACTTCTCAGTCCCATAGAATTTGTTTTGATAACTTTTGATTTTGAAATTTTAGCAAAAGTCATTATAAACAATCTATGAAATTGAAAATGAAAAACGTGGAGCGCATGCAATACAAAGCAATCGATTTAATTGACAATAGTCAAACTACATAACGTAGACCTAAAATTTCTACAGCGAAAGTAGAACTTTGAAATCGATTTTAAGCGGTCGTTATTCATATACCCACATACATACATTCATATATTACTTTTCATATCAATTCAAGTGTATTACATGCGCCCCACGCTTTTCATTTTCAATTTCATAAATTGTTTATAATGACTTTTGCTAAAATTTCAAAATCAAAAGTTATCAAAACAAATTCTATGGGACTGAGAAGTATTATTTTCTACTTTTTAGTCCATTTATAAAAGCGTTGTATATTAAAAAGTTTTTTTTATATTATATATTTTCTACTTTTTAGTCCTGTCTGAATAAAATTTTGCAATAGATATTAAAATAATTCAACGATATTAATAGAAAGGTGCACACACATGCATTTACATATGTATGTACATTAGGGCTGTGCGATTATTCGATTACTCGAGCAAGTTGGTTAATCAGTTATTCGGTTAATCAATTACTCGAGTAATCAAGATTTTGATTACTCAAAACGATGATTAATCGAGTTACTTGAAATATGATTACTCAAAAAAAAATTAATTTTGCTCGTTAAAAGAGGTTGCTTTGGAAAATGCTTATTTTTTTTTTTTTTTATATTCTGTATATGAAAAAAATATGTATGTATGTATGTATTTCATTTTAATTTTTGAAAACAGATACGTTTTTTTCAAAGTATCAAGGAACTTCAACTGCTTTATATGTATGTATGTAAAGAGTACTTTGAAATGTTGATTACTCATTTTATTCATAATGTTGATTAATCATAAAGCAAATTACTCAAATATTTTTGTTTTTGGTTAATCAAAATCTTGATTACTCGAGTAACTGAACTTTTGAGTAATCATAATTTCCGATTAATCGAATAATTGAGTTATTTACTTTATGATTAATTAAAATTTTGAATAATCAATTAATCGCACAGCCCTAATGTACATACAAACGAGCACCAATTAATTTTATTTAAAGAATGGCGTGTCGTCTATTTCCGGTCTAGCAAACGTAGTACAAGGGCGACATCTAGATGTCATCTACCTCGCCCTATTCACTATGCTTTTTTAAAGGAGCTTTTCAAAGCTTTGCTTTGGTGTCGGAACACTACATTGAAAGTTTCGGGATCCACAACATTGAAAGTTTCTGGAACACAACATTGCAAGTTGATAAAAGCGTTGTAAAATACATGTAAGGCAAAGAAATCAGCTGATAAATTCGCCTTGTGTGTGACGTTCGTAATTTTGAAGTTTGCTATTTCTGTTTTGCTTCTCTCTTTATGTGTGTTTTGTCGGTGGTTTATTTCATTGATTTTTAAGCGATTTTCAATAAATTTGTTTGTACAAATGTAAATAAAAATAAATGCGCTGTGACTTTTTGCAAAAACAGGTACAAAAAATAATAAATTTGTTAGCACAAATATGTGCTACAAAATTGCTTGCATTTTTTTCCTTATGTTTCGTCTTCATATTCTTTGTTTACTTTTCAAAGAAAATAACTTGGCGCCGAAATTACAAACGTCAACCAGAAAATTACTTTTTCCTTTTGCTTCTTCTTGTCAGATATTGTGTAGTTGTATCATGGGTGACAGTGATAAAATCCCCGGTAGTAATATATCGCTCATCCCTACTTACAGCTAAGGACAGTTGACAGCCCTGAAGACAAACGTCATCAATTTCGATGTCATCTGGGTGGGCGTTCGATGGTTGACTTGAATAAATTACTTTTCATATTTAGCGCCGAAATTATGTACTAAAATTTTAATATTCCTGCGAGTACATTTTGTTAAATAAACTCAGACGCTGATATTGAGTTATAAATATTACATGCGGTGCACTTGGCATTTCGAAATCAACTAAGCATGACCGTAACGACGTGGTGTAAACTTGTCATCAACGTAAGTGTTTGTTGAAAATATTTTGTTTAATTATTAATGAAAATAATCATTATAGTCATTTATATTACTTGCTCTACTGAGCAAAGAGGGTGGCGCCAAGACAAACTCTAAAAACGCTGTGATGGAGGATGTAGCTGACTTCAAAGATTTCAAGAAATTATTACGGACCAAAACGAATGTACTGGTTTTGTTTGTCTCAGGAGTGAAGGAAGCACCTGTTGAGTTGAAGGTATTCCGTGAAGCAGCCAATGCAGTTCGTGGTACAGGTACTATGGTACTGATTGACTGCACACAAAGTGAACGCAAAAAATTGTGTAAAAAGTTAAAAGTTTCGCCAAATCCTTACATATTCAAACATTACAAGGACGGAGATTTTCATAAAGATTACGAGCGCCAAGTTACTCTTTCGTCTATGGTTAATTTCATGCGTGACCCTGCCGGCGATTTACCATGGGAAGAGGATCCGGTGGGAGCGGATGTGTTACATTTCGCCGATTATTCATCATTCCAGCGCCATTTGCGCAAGGATATGCGTCCAATGTTAGTCATGTTCTATGTACCTTGGTGTGGTTTTTGTAAACGCTTTAAACCAGACTATTCTAAAGCAGCAACAGAATTAAAAGGTAAAAACTATGTCATTGCGGCAATGGATGTAGAGCGCACGGAGAATGCACCGGCAAGACGTGCATATAACATTACAGGTAAGGAAAATTCATATTTCATTATGGTTACAAATTTAACATTTTTTTTTTATCTCAAGGATTCCCCACAATATTGTATTTTGAGGGCGGTGAACTGAAACGTTCTTATGAAGGTGATAATAATAAAGATGGTATTGTTGCTTTTATGAAAGACCCGGAAGCGGCGCCTGTCCAAAAAGAGAAAGAGGCAGATTGGTCGTCTGATCCAAACTCTGAAATTGTACATTTGACAAAACAGGGCTTCGAGCCTGCACTCAAAGACGAAAAATCAGTTTTAGTTATGTTCTACGCACCTTGGTGTGGCCATTGCAAGCGTATGAAGCCAGAATATGAGAAGGCCGCTGTAATTATGAAGGATCGTAAAATACGTGGCATATTAGCCGCTTTAGATGCAACCAAGGAAAAGACAATTGCAGAAAAATTCAGCGTTCGCGGTTACCCAACTCTCAAATATTTCGTAAATGGCGCTTTCAAATTTGATGTAAATGTGCGCGATGCATCGAAAATTGTTGACTTCATGGCTGATCCCAAAGAGCCACCACCCCCACCTCCGCCTGAAAAATCTTGGGAAGATGAAGAAAACACGGAAGTGCTCTTTTTAAACGAGGAGAATTTTAGCACGATTTTAAAACGTAAAAAACATGCGCTCGTAATGTTCTATGCACCATGTAAGTACACATATAAATTAGTTTTATTGACTGGTTCTTAGTAAGAGTCTTATTTTACAGGGTGTGGCCACTGCAAGAAAGCAAAACCAGAATTTAACGCTGCTGCCGATGAACTAAAAGATGATCCACGAGTAGTATTGGCTGCTGTGGATTGCACCAAACATCAAAGTCTATGCCAGTCTCATGGTGTTAACGGTTATCCAACTATTATATACTTTTCATACCTCAAAACGAAAGCGGATTACAATAGTGGACGCAATAGCAAAGACTTTGTTGCATTCTTGACTAATCCAAATCTTTCTGCCAGTGAGACCGTACAGATTAAGCACAAAGCAGATGAGCTGTGATGTCAAGGAATTTATGCATTTACTTTTTTCATGCCGTCAGGGAAACACCTCTGTCTATTACTACCCAACGAACAAAACCTGCAGATATTCTAACTTAACTTCTAGGTTATTAAAAAGTATTTTTTAATGTAAGTATCTAAACATGTGATTCATTCTACTGTGCTCTCGAAATTTAATAAAATGTATTTTAATAAATAAACCTACCAACCAGTGCAATTTTGGTATAAATCATTTGTGTAGTTTCCTTACTGAAATGGAAGGCTTCACTTTTTGGAGACATCCAAATTCAGATGGCCGACCCATTAAACATAAGGTTGCCTAAAATGGATTGTAGCGGCCGATATTATTAAACGGCCAGTAATTAGCAGCAGACCTACACGTTCAGCAATGACATTTTTGCAATTCTTTTTTCCCGAAAGCGCTGTGGAACTTTCTGAGATCAATTTTAAGTAGTACTGTGAAGAGTAGAAGGCACAATATTCAATTCAAGGCAATTCAAAAGTTACACAATTCAAAATTTGAGGAAAGCTGGGGGAAATTTTTATAAATTTGTTGGAAAAAACCTAGGGTAAATAATTAGCCCAAATAATTAGCATGTGCTAAGAATTGGTTTTTACATTTTCTGACTAACGTGTAATTTTGAGTTGTGTCAAATTTAAAGAACATGTGTGATATGTATATCTAATTCTTTTTTTTGATTATTTTAGTAACTTCATTAAAAAAAAGCCTACTGAGTGTTTAGAAAGATACAATCACATCACTTTTGTTTATTCGCACAAATTTTCATTCGTCCATTTATTTTTTTTTCACTTCCTTCCTCAGTAGTATATTATCTTATAATTCCTGCCCCAAATGCGTTTACAAGCCACAACATACTGCTACCGACAATGCCAATTGAATGCAATCGATATTTACCGCTTGCCTCCAACGCGTGGCGCAGATTTCTGTGTCACCTTAGCAGCCTTCTGCTTGGGTGCAGCCTTTGCCTTAGGCGCAGCAGGCTGTGTAGCCTTCTTTGCAGTCTTAGCAGCGCGCTTTTGTTCCTTTGCGGCTTTGATAGCCTGATCGCGTTGGGCCTTACGCACTTCGGGTTTCATGTTGCGCTTGGCCATGATTTCGGCAAGCGAAGCACCGACAATGGCACGCTGGAACTTTTGTGTGCGCCGGGTACGCTTCTTAGTGGTTTCTTCTTCTATACCCTTACGGTGCTTGCGACGGTACAGAACGGTCCAAGTGACCTTACGCGGATTGCGCTTCATCAGGTAGGAGCGTTCGCATTTCTTGTCGAGGAAAGTGAAAGTCTGTGATGGTGGAAGAAAAACGCAAATGTTAATTATGTACTAGTGCTGATACAAGCACGTTTACATACCTTACCGTCAACCTTGACCATGGTCTTGCCATGTCCTGGGTAGATTTTGTACCCACTGAATGAACACAATCCGATTCTGCAAATACGAAGAAAACACTGTTAATTTGCAGGAAATTTCATTACGTGCAGCCAATCACTGTTACTAATATAAAAAATATGCTTTCAATTTGCATTTTTCTTATAAGATGTGTGTAAAATAAATAAATTTAAAATTACAATTGTCGAATAGACGTACTTCATCTTGCTGTTGTTGTCAGTAGAAAGAAACGGAAATGGACATAAAATTGACAGCTGTCAGTGAACTGCCAAATTTTGACTATACGATGCTTGCGACAGCTGGTAGGGACTAGCGCAAAAATATTGGTAATAAATTGATATTCTGGGAGAATTTTAGTGAACTGTATTCAGACTAGGGCTAACGATTATGTTCAAAAATTTAGCAAAGATCCGTTAAGCTATTGGATTAGAGAAGAAATATACACTTATTGCAACGGTACTAGAATTTTGCGTCGGATTTACTTTGCGGGTTACGTTTCTGCGATTATGTCAATAAAGTCCTTTCAAACCACGCATGCGCCTGTTAAGGACACTTGTATCCTTTTTCAACAATGAGCAAACACATACTGAAGTACAAACATAAATACAAAAAAAATTTCAGGAAATTAAAAAAAAAGAAATGTTTTGACGTCAGAGAGCTGGATTTAGCGTGAGCTACTGAAATTCCTTTAAAAGTTTGCTGGAGAAAATAAAATTAGTATTTTAGTGTTTATTAAAATTTCCACAATGAAATTGACTTTGCGTCGCTATTCGTTATTGCTGTGTCTACAATTTACGCTTTTATTAGCTGATTTGTTTTTCAATACTTTTGCCCATATATTTCTACGTGAAAAGCTCCAGTTCACAATATTGATGTTTGTGTAAGTACAACTTAAAAAGGGATACAACTCCGTAATAGTCTTGTTTATTTTTTTAATGCATACTATTTTATAGCACTCAAGATGTTTTTATAATCTGTGAATATGTGTTTTTCACCTTTGCTGTGCATTCAACCTGTGTTTACGAGGTGGGTGAACAAGTTTTGAGAGTGACCAATAAAAATTTGAATTAATTGAAATACTTTGGTTTCTAGGTCGGAGGTGCCTCTGTAATTTTGCGTAATTGCAAATTCTTTTTACTCACAATTCTAACCTACTTCCTACTTTCGGCTTCGCAACATTTCTGGATAGTTTACAATACGATGTGGGCGCCAACTGCTGATTGGTCAAGTACTCTTACCGCCTTAGCATTTGTACAGCGCCTTGGTATTCAAATTATTATAATTTATATTAAACATATTTAAAGTTTATCGTTGAAATAATCTATTTATTGCAGTATCCTTCGTTTATTACTATACTTGTAAACATACCGCTTTAGTTGTATCAGATCCCAGATATTACGAGGAAAATATTGACTGGATTGCCGAACAATTAAGTGATAAGTAAAGCAAATTGATTACGTAAAATGTAATAATTGACATTTATTTAAAATGTACCGTTAAAATGCTCAATATTAAAGTTGTATAAAGAAATACTTTAATTTGAGTATTCAAGAAACACAAATAGGAAAACAAATTTGGCGACTTTTAGAATGTTTAAGGCCAGAGCCTTCTAAACTTATAAAATGAGGTGTCGGACTATGAACCAATTAGAACAGATCTGACCGGTTGAGAAGCAGCCATTTGTAATAGCAATTGAGAAAAAAGTGCGACGTTCGCAATTTTGAAGTTTGCTATTTCTGTTTTGCTTCTTTCTTTAAGTGTATTTTTTCGGTGGTTTATTTCAGTGATTTTTAAGCGATTTTCAATCATTTTTTTGTGCAAATGTAATTAAAATGAAGTGTACGGTGATTGGTTGCAAAAACACGAACAAAAATAATAAATTGGTTAGCAGAAACATGTGCTACAAAATTGCTTTAATTTTTGTCTTTATGCTTCGTCTTCATGTTCTTTGTTTACTTTTCAAAGAAAATAACATGGCGCCGAAATTACAAACGTCAGTCAGACCTTGTGTAGTTGGATTATGGTGTCGGACCATGATTCAGTAATTAAAAGCTTTGTTTTTTAACAGGTAGTTAACAAAAGTCATCACTAATTTCTGCTGGAAAGCGTTTCTTAACCCAAAAAACTAGCAATCTCTCTCGTTCCTACCACAATATAACCAGTCACGGTGGAGAGAATACAGAGGTGGCGCCGATGACGATACCGCTACTCGGCTCTCAGTGATTTTGACAGAATCAGCTGTTTTGGTGACGTCATAGTAGAGAAGACAGCAGTAGTGATGTGCTGAGTCAATACTTTTAAGTACCCAATACTCTCGATACTCGGTACCGAAACATTTAGGTTTCGAATAAAAGCGCACATGGGCCAAAAATATGGAAAAAACGCCTAACAAAACCCGAATGTAAGAGCCAATAGAGCTTTTTTACTGATTCAATTGAAAGATGTATATATGTCGGTTCGATGCCATAATACAGAGAAACCCTTACTTTTTGTTCCAGCTGAATCGGACGATATCATTTTTGTAGGCCTGGGACAGATTCTGTAACCAGTTAACGACAATTTTCGAATAGGTATCGGTTTTGTCGACGTTTGATATCAAATATTTGTAAGTCAACAAGTGCGATATCGATCCGAAACTTGTCGCTAACTGGCTACAGAATCTCTCCCCTGAAAGGCTTCTTCATCCGTCAAAGTATTTTTCTTGAACCTTGGATCGACTAAGGTTAAAACTGATAAAATAATATTTTTCTGTGGCGATAAGTTCAAGTGTTTTAGCCGATATCATATAAATTAGTAATGAAAGTTTTTTCTAAACCTGAAATGCATATAATGGCGAGGGTTTAATGTAAATAATCGGTATCGGATACCGAAAAGGAAGTATAGGGTACCGAAATCTTTTTTAAGTATTGGGTACCGAGTATTGGGGACAATTCAGCACATCACTAGTCGCCCTCATTCTCGCCGCTCTCAGTTGTCAACTCTACAGTGACGTCACGCCAAAATTACTCTCACGAATTCTGCTGCGATCGGCGCAATCTTGTATTCTATCATTCTTGATAACCAGTAAACAACCTTCGGTGAATTTGGCGACTGCCTTCCTCGGGGATGAATATGCTAGGGATGAAATTATTGGTACAGACGCCTTCCAAGCACGCAGGGTTGCTTTTAAGAAGCAATAATAATTAACTCCAAATGGTTTCAAAAAGTATAGTGCAAAACTAAATTTATTGAATAATTCCACATAAAATGGTATACATAAATGACTCATTTTCTAAACGATTTAAATAAAACGCATTTTATAACCTTTTTTGTGCAAACGGCGTTTGCGAATTGATAGAAAAGTACTACGGATTGTAAATTTTTGTTAACTATGAGGTGAATGAAAATTTTCAACCCGGCCGGACGGTTTTGAAGAGTTTTTTTGTTCTAATTTTATTACTAAGGCGTATAATAAATGCATGGCTTTTAGTTCTAGAAGAATAAAAGTCAGTAAAAACAAGTATTTTTTGTATAATTTCTGATTTTAATTGCTCAACTTTTGCACCAGAGCAACTGTCAAATATTTCCAGCAGTAAAAAGTTACGAATTGGCACAGCAGAAAAGTAAAATTTTCTCGCCATAATAAAAAGTTTTTTCAACATGGAACTTTTCTACTAATTGACATGAAATTACTATCTCAACGTTCGGAGCGCTGCCACTGAGGGCCTTTGCCAACTAATAAAAAAGAGAAAGCTTGGAAAGACCAAACAAAAATTTTGAGATTTCTCGTTGTGAATACGAATGCCATAGTTTTTACCTAGCTCGTGGGACTACGCAAAATTTTTACAGCTTGTAAATATGTATACACATAAAGTTGTTGGCGGTTATAAACAGTCAAAATCAAAATGGAGAAAAGAACAAAAAGCGTACGTTAGTTGTCAGTTATGAAGTAAATCCAATTTATTTGCGAATATTTGTTAATTCTATTTATTGAAAGGCAACCACGCGGAAAAGCTTGTGTTAATTATATTGATAAAAGAACCTGGCAACTCGCACGTTGTCTAAATTCTCAAGTAACATAAAATTCACAAAAGAATACTTTGCTTGTATTACCATCAATACGCCATGTATAAATTTTAACAACACACAAAAATAGAGCTTTTGCACGAGCGTTTGTTTGCTTTTCAACACCATTTATAATTTTCTTTTTATAAAATCACGATTTGTCAAATGCTAAAATTTATTTATCTAATAATAATGCAGCACACAACCCTGAAATCTAAGAAAAAGTCTGAGGAAGGCAATTAAATAGCAGCACACAACCCCGTGCCTTCCTCAGGAGTGAATATAACTACAACAACAACGACTACTACACCAACAACCCAAAAAGGTTGGTTACTGTCTATACTGTGATGGAAACCGAATATGTATAAACACTGATACACACACCTATAGGACAGCAAGCAGCCAGGGATATGCTAAAAATGTGCAGTGGACATTCAAATAAATGGGTGACAATGAGGATAATGATGAGCAATAATGAGCATACAAGCGAAAATATGTGTGTATATCTACATGTAGATTAGCATGCGCTGAGAATTTGTAGAGCGTTGAAATTATTTGCAATCCGTAATGAAAGGCACAATTGATGAGGCACACATGCATACCTACAAACACGCACACACAGTTACTACCACAAATGCATGAAATGCCTGCAATGCTGTGCGAGGTGGTAAAGCGCATAGATATAAAATGGCCAAAGTACACACGCACACACTTACTCATGTACATACACACATCCCAGCAGCAAAAATGCGATTGCATGACAACGCCACCGACTTCAGAGTCGACTCCAAAGTAGAGTTGCGAAGATCGATTATTCGAGCCCTTCCGATTCGATTTTTTAGTTTCGATTCGATCCGTGAATCGATTCAAAAAATTCGAGAATCGACATCCGATTTTTTCTTAATTGATGCGTATTGAACTACGGTTTGTCGCAGAAAATCTATACAAATTTAAAGAAATTTGAATTTGGGGCTGGTACAAAAAAAAACTAAAAATTAGAGCAAAAACTAAAGAATTCAATTATCTTTCTTCTTCGCCTTTAGGTCTCCTCAGAGAAGCCTTTTGAAAACACCTCTATATAAAATTATGGCTAATACTACAAAAAAAGCTCCAAAAATTGTAATTCCAAACTTTATGCAAATTTGCCCAAAAAATTTGTATACCTTAATTAATCTTTTTATATTTTTTTTAAAAGGAAAATAAAGAAGTGAAACATCGTCCGCTTTGCAAGAAATATATATGTATGTACGTAAGCTCTATTACACTTCTTAAAATAGTGGTTCATTTTGAAACAAAACATAAATTTTGTTTCTCATTTGTTTTAAAGAACAAGTAATTTTTAGCAAAAAAAAACCCGACTTCAACTCTCATATAAAAATATATATATATATCTCATGATCCACTGATCGGATCTTAACCAGATTGGTATGGGTCCACCTCTGAGACACTACCTTTCCGATGCCAAAAGAATTATCGGTTGACGTGGTCCAAAGTTATGCGGTAACATACATAAAAAAAAAATAAATAAATATTTCGACGAAATGATACCCTCCTCCTTTTTAAGAAGTCGATTAAAAATACAAACAAAATTTCGAAAAAGTTAACAGTTTGCTTAAATATGGCTAACATTGGGTTTTCACTAGGCATTAAATTTAAAATTTTAATCACTATGTTGGGCTTTCAACACTACCCGTGTTATTGTGTTTGTTTCCACATAGCATTTTTAAAATGGCATTCATTTTTGTCATTTCATTGCCAGGCGTATATTCGGTTTAAGAATTTATGAAGTTTTTGTTCAATGTTCATATCACTTTCTTATGCTGGATTTCCACTAGGCCTTAAATGGCAAAAATTACAAATGACAAAGTTGGGCATTAAAAAATTATTGTGTTATTATGTGAAAAAATAGTCATTGAGTTCATTTCTACATGGCATTTTTTTAAATGGCAAATATTTTTTGTCTTTCAATGCCTTGTGGATATTCGGCATTAGTATAGAAAACCTTTTTTTTAAATAATATTTTGATAAAAATGTTTTGCTAGACGCTTCTATAAATCATAATCTCATAATCTGCATTACCTTTTGCCAAAAAGTAATCTAGTGCTTAATTGCCGCATTACTCTTTAAAACATTCTGCATTACTTTGAGCTTAATGCTATGCAAGAGGTAATTCAGCTAGACATTTCTGCGTTGATAAAAACTAATGCAGCAGAAGCCCTCACACCTTACCCCCAATGTCACGCAATGTTAAATGTAATGCATACTTCAATAGAAAAATAATCGAGAGCGGAATCGAATGCCATTACTTGTCATCAGTGCAACATCGATGCGGAATTCATTCCATTCGCTGCTGGGATGTTTACGAATTTGTGTCGAACATTGAGTGAAATTGGGCGCGCTCTGTAAAACCACAGCTATGTACCGGTTTAACAGCTACCAAAAGCGTGTGGCATGCAATGCGAACCGCACTAACCGCAATACCAACGGCCAGAAAGCAGATACAACAACAAAAGTAGGACAACAAACATT